GCAACAGTTAGGACTGGACATGGAACAACAGACTGGTTCAAAACGGGAAAGGAGTATGTCAGAGTACATCATGTGAAATGCCAGACTGGATGAAGCTCAAGCTGAATCAAGATTGCAGGGAAAAATATCAGTAACACCAGATATGCAGATGACACCATCATTATGGCAGAAAGTGAAGAAGAACTCAAGAGCCTCTTGATAAAAGTGAAAGAGGAGAGTGAAAAAGCTGACTTACAACTCAACATTCAAAAAAACCATGATCATGGCATCTGGTCCCATCACTTCATGACTGATCAATGGAGAAACAATGGAAAGAGTAACAGACTTTTTATTTTCTTGGGCTTCCAAATCACCGCAGATGGTGACTGCAACCATGAAATTAAAAGACATTTGCTCCTTGGAAGAAAAGTTATGACAAACCTAGACAGCATATTAAAAAGCAGAGACATTACTTTGCCAAAAAGGTCCATCTAGTCAAAGCTATGGTTTTTTCCAGTAGTCATGCATGGATGTGAGAGCTGGACCGTAAAGAAAGCTGAGGGCCAAATAATTGATGTTTTTGAACTGTGGTATTGAAGAAGACTCTTGAGAGTCCTTTGGATAGCAAGAAGATCAAACCAGTCAATCCTGAAGGAAATCAGTCCTGAATATTCATTGGAAGGATTGATGCTGAAGCTGAAGCTCCAATACTTTGGCTACTTGATGAGAAGAACTGACTCATTATGAAAGACCCTGATGCTGGGAAAAATTGAAGGTAGGAGGAGAAGGTGGGGACAGAAGATGAGATAGTTAGATAGCATCACTGACTCAATGGACATGAATTTATACAAACTCTGGGAGATAGTGAATGACAAAGGAACCTGGCATGCTTTCCAGTCCATTGGATTGGAAAGAGCTGGACACAACTTAGTGATTGAACAACAACAATTTAAGATGTACAACTTGATGATTTGCTGTATGTGTACATTGTGAAATAATCATTAAAATCAAACTTATTAACATATCCATCATCTCATGAAATTAAATTTTTTTTGGGTGCATGTGGTGAGAAAACTTATGATATACCCTGCTAACAAATTTCACATATACAGTTCAGTATTTTCACCTACAGTCACCATTCTACACATTAGATCTCCAGAAGTTATTCATCTTGTGTAATTGAAACACCTTTGACAAACATCTCCCCGTTTCTCCCTCCCCACAGTGCCTGGTAACCACCATGCTACACTGCTTCTTAGCATTTGACTATTTTTGATTCCACATATAAATGAGATCATAGAGTATTTTTTTCTGTGAGTTTAAAGTCATAATAGCTACAATGAAAAAATTCATGAAATAGGCTCCAAGAGCATTGGAATTGATGAAGAAAAAGTTAATTGGAAGGTAAATCAACAGAAATAACTCGATCTGAAGAGGAAAAAATAGAGATGAAATGAACAATTTCTTTGAAATTTTCGAGACACTATCAATTGACCCAACATATGTGTAATTGGAATAAAGAAGGAAATAAAAAGATAAAAAGAAAGAGTATATTTGAATAAATGATAGCTAGAAGCTTCTCAAATTTGGTAGAAAACAATGACTTACAGTCTCCAGATGTTCAACAAACCATAAGTAAGAAAAGCACACAGAAGCATATTATAATTGTTGATAGCTGAAGGTAAAGAGAAAATATTGAAACAGGAGAACTTTGACATATTACATAGAGCAAAATATGATGCATTATTTGCAACATTTTCATCAGAAATGAGGGAAGACAGATACATTAAATGCCATGGGAAATGGAAAAAAAAATCTATTGATCAAGAATTTTTTTGTCCAGTAAAACAATTTTTGACAAATAAAGACAAAACAAAGATGCTTTCAGGTAAAAGCATAGATAATTTATTGCTGGCAAACATGCAGTATAAGAGTCCTTCAGACTGAAGAAAAATGAAACTCATCATAACTTGGATATACAGCTAAGAATGGAGTACTGAAAATGGTAAATGTATGGTTAAATATAAAGGATTATATACACTAATATAATTTTCCTCTTAATTTCCTTAACAAGGCATATGCATGTTTGAAAATTATAGCAATGGATTAATGGAATTAAGTAAATGGAACTCTGTGTGTACAGGCCTGTGTGTGTTAGTCATTCAGTCATGTCCAACTCTTACGACCCCATAGACAATATCCTGTCTATCTCCTCCATCCATGGAATTCTTCAGGCAAGAACACTGGAGTGGATGGACATTCCTTTCTCCAGCGGATCTTCCTGACCCAGGGATTGAACCCAGGCCTCCTGAATTGCAGGCAGATTCTTTAACTTTTGAGCCACCAGGGAAGCCCAAATGAAAGTATGCAATTGCAAATTTACTATGTTTTTCTTGAAGTAATTCATTATTAAGCTTAAATAGATTAAGTTAAAAAAATGCAGGCTATAATCTCTAGACTAACAAATAAAAATAGTAAGGAAAACTGCCATAAAGTCAATAGTTACACTAATGCCATCCTAGTTTCCACATTTCATCTTTTGAATCCTCCTAACCAATGCAGAGTACCAGGAATTATACTGTAGTTAGGACAATGTGTTCTTAGGTCCTCTTGCACCTGTGTTACAAACAGGCAGTCTTATATTAACAAATTACTTAATTTTCCCATGCCTCAGTTTTTTAGTCTTAAAAATGAGACTATTAAATAACCTTTAAATACTGTGACTTTAAATGTGATTGTTAAATTAATAAAAAGCAGTGAGTAAAAACCCTGTCATTGAATTACAAGATAACACATCATTGTTGGTTTTACTGAATCAATGAATGGGTGATGATACATATTAGAGATGCAAATATTCATATCACTAGTATTAGTAGAGGAAAATGCATGCTGAGAGTGAAGAGTTAGATAAGATGATTAGCCTGGGTAGACTTTCTGGACATTTTTACATTTAAAGATAATCTGAGTATGGTAGATTGGATATCTGGGTGCAGATACTGCAGTATTTTGCAAAGAAGAAAAAATATGAAAATAAGGTAAAAATTACTTTAAAAAATGTGACTGAAGATAGTGGGACAGACATTTGAAGATATTGATATACAAGAAGAGATTGAATTTAAGGGAGATTGGAATATTCTCAATATTTGAGTGTGAAGGTATATGTGACCTCAAAATAGAAAGAACATCAGACATGGTCATCTAAAACTTTTAAGACAGAAGTAATGGAAGGTGAATACCTGTTTTCTGTCTATTCTTCTTATAGTGTGAATTTAAAAGCATCAATTTTAAGTTCTGTGATTTTGGGCTGGTCACTTAAACTCTATTAGGCTCACTTTCTTCTTCAATTAGATGCAACTGTTACCATTTCTTTCTAAGTCCTTCTAAGTTTTGAAATAGATTAACCTATGAAAGTTATATAATGTTTAGCACAAAACAGATATATAAATTATTGTTTGAATCACAATCCTAATATCCCTTTGTTCACATTTCCTTTTTCTGCTTTTCCAAGAAGAATATTTCTAGTTAATGACAAGCACAAATTGCTTGCTGAAACAGCACCCACTGGGACTGTGAAATCTTCAGAGAGAGAAGCTGTTTTCATGGAAACAGATTCACCCCTGGGAACAGGGGTTTGGAAGGTTCCCTGGTATCATTTGGGAACATCACTCTGGCTCAGAATAGGAGTTTCTAATCTGGACCTCAAGTCCTTTCTCCTACAGACAGGTCTACCAAGGGTCAGATTAGTACATGGCTGCTTAAAGGCAGGACTTGTCCTCACTGTGAGCCACTTCAGGTGAGTAGGGAATCCTCCCTTGTGTAATCTCTCAGAGACAGTGAGGCCTGACAGCTGATCATTGGGCTGAAGGATATGCAGCTTGCCCTGATTTTTCCTTCAGTGCTTTGCATAGACTCACATGAACAAGGACTTGCAGAAGGGGTGTTATAGATAAAAGAGATTATTGTTGAGCAAACTGTTTCTTATTTTGTGTCATGTGACTGAGTATCCAACAGTGACTAGAAGAGTCATCATTGTTTGGGGGAAATAATGTTTGATTAGAACACAAGGCACTTTTTCTCTGGTCTTGGCTTATTATGACCTCAGGAAGTCACTCCACACTCTTGGCTCTGTCTGTCACTTACTCACCAAAATAATGTCCATCAAGCTACCAAACTTCAAGTTCTAACAGGCAGCAAGATGTGTCCACATGTGTATTATGTAGTATTGTGTGTATAATGTTGGTATAAGTATATGTGTGCTGTGCATATCTACATATATAAGTGCTGCCTGAATATATGTTAATTTACAATGTGTGTCCATGTTTATATTAATGGTAAATGTGCAGTGCATGGTTTTGAACATGCAAAATGTGCACAATTATGTGTGAGTGCTTTGCATGTGATATGCATGTATATAAATGCATACATATATGTAGTCACATATGTCTGTGTATATTGGGTATCTTTATATTCACATATGCACATCTATGTATGTGAGAATGGATTCATAATCTGTGTGTCTAATAAGTATCTTTCTGAAGTTTATTACTGTCTAAATCTTTTTAGTTACAACAGGTACAAAGAAATCAGAATCCACCTCATCTTCGCTTTTTAAGAAACTAGACATCTCCTGGCAAAGTGGAAGGAATCAAGTCTGTCAGGATGTCACTCAGAATGGAGCAGACCAATGCAACCTTCTGGAGGGGCTTTGTCTTCCTAGGCTTCTCCAGCTTTGGGGAACTGCAACTCTTGCTTTTGCATTGTTCCTCTCCCTGTATCTTGTCACCCTGACCAGCAATGTCTTCATTATTTTAGTCATCAGGCTGGAAAGTCATCTGCACACCCCCATGTACCTCTTCCTTTCCTTCTTAGCTTTCTCTGAGACCTGCTATACCTTGGGCATCATCCCTAGAATGCTTTCTGGCCTTGTCAGGGGTAAGCAGGGCATCTCCTTTGTGGGCTGTGCTGTCCAAATGTTCTTCTCCGCTTCATGGGCCTGCACCAACTGCTTTCTTCTGGCGGTCATGGGCTTTGACAGATACGTGGCCATCTGCGCCCCACTACACTATGCCAGCCGCATGAATCTTACTCTCTGTGCCCAACTTGTTGGCACCTCATTTCTGAGTGGGTCCCTCTTTGGTCTGGGAATGACACTGGTCATTTTCCACCTCCCATTCTGCAGCTCCCATGAGATCCAGCACTTTTTTTGTGACACGCCGCCAGTGCTGAGCCTGGCCTGTGGAGATACAGGCCTGAGTGAGCTGGGAATTCTGATCCTCAGCCTGCTGGTTCTGATGGTCTCCTTCTCCCTCATCGCTGTCTCCTACACCTACATCCTGGCAGCAATCCTGAGGCTCTCCTCCACCGAGGGGCGGAAGAAAGCCTTCTCCACCTGTGCCTCACCCCTCACAGTGGTCGTTGTTCACTACGGCTGTGCCTCCTTCATGTACTTGAGACCCAAAGCCAGTCACTCTCTTCAGCGGGATCAGCTTATTGCTGTCACCTATACTGTCGTGGCTCCTCTCCTCAATCCCATCATTTATAGCCTGAGAAATAGGGCTGTGCAGACTGCCCTGAGAAATTCTTTCCAAGGGGGATTACTGGGTAAAGGATGAAGGCTACCCGATGGGACAGTCTCCTTTGTATGGGCTGGACATACACCAGAAACCGAGGCCAGTGGGCCAGGTGGTCAGAGTCTTAGGCCAAACCTACCTATCCCAATTCCCTGAGAGAGCCCCATCCTGTCTCTTACAGGTTCCCCAGGGGAACCTGCTGGGGGAATGCCGAGGCAGGACTTCCTGCTCTGGTTACTGTGCTTAATTCACACTGAGCTGAGAGTCTGAATTTTCATTTCCAGCCTCCCATATGTCACAGTAGTTCCTGAAACTCAGCTCATTAAGAATTTTCTAACTGAGCTGAAAAAGATGAAGGGAGTTTCAAGCACCCAAGTTCAAAGCAGCTGGGGTCCTTCCAGGGATACTATAGAGATTTCTAAAATCATTTTATAATTAGACTACCCCACCAATAATGTTCTTCCAAGATCTGAAACTCAGTGACTATCAAGTTAGCAAATCAGTTTGAATGCTTTGCTAAATGAAAAGGTCAGTTTTTGTTTTTGTTTTGTCTTCCACTAGAGGTCTTTAATCTTTTTATGTAGTTTTTTTTTTTTTTCTTTAAATCTCTGGTTCATTATTTCTTTGCCCTCCTCTTTTTAACTAGCTCTCCTAGTTGGATAGATTCTATTTATTTCTTATTTTCGTTGATAATTTCTATTCCTCTCTAAATAACCTCCTAATCTTGGGTATATGGACCTTCTCACTTGGGTCACTACTTAGCATGGATACTATCCTTTAGAATCTGTTGTGGAATTCTCTATCCTGTTTGTTTTATTTTCCACCCTCAATATGCATGGTACCAGACATTTTTAGGGATAAGTAAGTGAAAGTCATTCAGTCATATCTGACTCTTTGCAACCCCATGGACTGTAGCCTGCCAGGCTCCTCTGTCCATGGAATTCTTCAGTCAAGAATATAGTGGGTAGCTGTTCCCTTCTCCAGGGGATCTTCCCAATCCAGGGATTAAACCTAGGTCTCCTGCTTCACAGGAGAATTCTGTAAAGGTGGAATGAATCCACACAGTTGTCAGGTAGGAGTTCAAATACAGGCTGTGCCACTTACAGTGTGACCCTGGGTAAGTTACTTTCTCAGCTTCAAAATCCTTACCTGTCAAGTGGTTTTATTAATAACTTCAAAGTTTTGCATTGCTGACTAAACAGAATCGTGAATATAAATTATTTAGTTCAATATCTGGATCATGTTAATAGCCATCTTCCAACAAATGTTAGCTGCTGTAATTAATAACATGCTAAGCAAATTGATACTGGCTTTTAATTTTGGGAGATGTTATTCTCGATGGAAGAACAGAGGAGGCTTCATCTCAAAGGCAGTACTTGAACTTATTCCCAAAGAGTGAGTAAATTTTGAATGCAGTAAGTGGAAATAAAGTACATATATTCTAAGAAAACAGAGCAGAATAACCAAAGTCTTAGTGGAAAGACAATACATGCCTGTTACAGAGTACGGTGAGTTGTCCCAAGGGACAAAAATATCTCACTAATGATTGGTGAAGTTAACTAAGGTTAAGACTTCTTTGTGCACGGCATTGTGAATACCTTGCTTCAGACTTGATGTTTTGGGCAGTAAACCTGTGAGCAGAGAGTGGAGTCGAATCTGGGAAGCGATTTAAGAAGATTAATCCAGTAACAAAAAGTGAAGTGTGACCCCATGGACTGTAGCCTACCAGGTTCCTCTGTCCATGGGATTTTCCAGGCAAGAGTACTGGAGTAGGTTGCCCTTTTCCTTCTCCAGGGGACCTTCCCGACCCAGGGATCGAACCTTGGTCTCCTGCATTGCATGCAGACGCTTTACTGACTGATCCATCAGGGAAGCTCCAATCTAGTAACAGAGAAGATGATAAATGTCACCAGGCAGAAAAGGAGGCAAGGAAATCAGTAAGAAATTCATTGACATCATTCTAAAGAAAGGCAAAAGGACTTGAATAAAGAGAGAAGCATTGAGAACTGACAGAAATTGTAGACATAAGAGATTTTGAAAATGTAGGATTCATGTGATTCATCAATAAGTTAGAAGTGGGACAATACTTAAGAGAAAGAGAGAAGAATGTATATTAAGGGAATGCTTTGCAGATAGGAATCCGTATTTATCTATGCTCTTGGTGAAGAAACATATCCTCTAGTGAGAATTCAGTGGAAAGCAAATGTGGGAGAAAGAAAGCTAGTCCACAAAAAGAGAATAAGCTGTAGAAAAGTAGAGTGAAAGGACTTGAGTAGAAAGAACCTGAATCAGGGAAGAAAAGCTATGTATGTACTCTAAACTCCTTTTCAGTGAGTCTGGAAGTAACCTCCTCATTGCACTGAGGCTGTTTGAGCAAATTCATTTCCAAAGTGTATGCAGGTCATCTAGAATCAGTTCAGTTCAGTTCAGTTGCTCAGTCGTGTCTGACTCTTTGTGACCCCATGAATCGCAGCACGCCAGGCCACCCTGTCCATCACTAACTCCCAGAGCTTACTCAGACTCATGTTCATTGAGTCGGTGATGCCATCCAGTCATCTCATCCTCTGTCGTCCCCTTCTCCTCCTGCCCCCAATCCCTCCCAGCGTCAGGGTCTTTCCCAATGAGTCAACTCTTCGCATGAGGTGGCCAAAGTATTGGAGTTTCAGCTTCAGCATCAGTCCTTCGAATGAACAAGGTCCTTTCAAGGTCCTTCCAATTGGACCTTGCTTCTATCACCAGTCACATCCACAACTGCATATTGTTTTTGCTTTGGCTCCATTCCTTCATTCTGGAGTTATTTCTTCACTGATCTCCAGTAACATATTGGGCACCTACCGACCTGGGGAGTTCCTCTTTCTGTATGCTATCATTTTTCCTTTTCATACTGTTCATGGGGTTAATCTAGAATAACATTCCCTAAATGCACACTCAGCAACAATGTGTAGAGATGTTCTAAAAATTGCTAAGTATTACTCAGAGGTCCGGGCTTTTCTGGTGACTCAGATGGTAAAGAATCTGCCTGCAATACAGGAGACCCAGGTTTGATCCTTGAAGAGGGGAATGGCTACCCACTTCAGCATTCTTGCCTGGAGAATTCCATGGACCGAGGAGTCTGGTGGACTATAGTCCTTCGGGTTGCAAAGAGTCTGGAAAGACTGAACCACAAACAAGTTCACTTTCACTCAAGGGTCCATCTACCTTCTAAATATATTAGTCTTAAGTATGAAAGGATATAAAAATCACATGAGGGATCATCCAGTATACATTCCTGGGAACCATCTCCATAGATCCTGACAAGATTGCTCTGGGGTGGCAGGCAGAAATAATCTACAAAACCCCCTCAGTGATTCAAATTTCCTCCCTTGATTACAAATACAGCCATATACTTAAACAAGTCCTCCTGCCAGGTACATACACACATATACACATAGCAAAGCGAAGGTCCCCAGATATGAACATGACCATATATGCCCTCTAAAAAAAGATCATGTCTTTTTAAAGAGCCAATTAGTTCCATAAGTTTCTGTAATCATTTTGCTTGAGTTTAAAGCATAGTTTTGCCACTTTTTAGATGTGTGATCTAGAGGAAGTTTATTAACATTTTTGGGCCTCCATTATCAATGCCAAAATGGAATTTTAGCAGTATCTATTTTGAAGGGCTTTTTGTAATGATTAAGATAAAATATTTAGAACAGAGTCTGCCATACATGAAACACCCAACATGACTATCTATTATTATGTGAAGTTTCTAGGCAGTATCGCTTTAGGCTGACACATTTGTTACCTAGTTTATGCTGGCAGGAGTCAGTGCCAAGCATCTTATATATCATGATATAACCAGACAAGAGTAAAATGCTGTTGCCTGGCACAGTGCCTGACTGGAGAAGGTAGGAAGATGGACTAGATCCATCTGAGAGGAGTAGGTACTGGGAAATGGGTCAGGCTCTAGGAAAAAAGAATCAGATGACTTCCAGGCAAATATTTGGCATCAGGGAGACCCATAAAATGTTAAAGAGAAAATTCAGTTAGGAGTGAATTTTGGGGACCCAACCAAGTGGTAGTAATCATGAAAGAAAAATCAAGAGTGTAGGCTGTGTCTCAGAGGCAGGCTCCACTCTAAATTATAAAGAAGAGAATTACTGAAAGTAGAGCAGGGATTCTAGTTTAAGATAAGTAAACAGAAGATCTAGAAATGAAGACTATATAATATGTGGAGCTTAACCCTGAGATCAAGAGGGAAATTTGATACAAGTTCTAATTGTTGTAATATTATAAGTTGAATATTTATATTCATAATTAAGTTATGCATGACAATTTCTATATTGTCTTTTTTTTTTTTTTTTGGCTTGAGTGCACATGTGGCCAGAATCTGATTTCAGAAGGTGCTGTGTGTAACTCTGACAGTACCATCTTTTTAAGGCATTTTTTATTGATTCTTTACATAAATACTATCTTCTTTAGCCTCTATATTATTGCAAAATGCCAGCTGGATGAAACACAAGCTGGAAACAAGATTGCTGGGAGAAATATCAATAACCTCAGATGCAGATGACACCACCCTTATGGCAGAAAGTGTAGAGGAACTAAAGAGTCTCTTGATAAAAGTGATAGATGAGACTGAAAAAGCTGGCTTAAAACTCAGCATTCAAAAAACTAAGGTCATGGCATCTGGTTCCATTGTTTCATGGCGAATAGATGGGGAAACAATGGAAACCATGGCAGACTTTATTTTCTTGGGCTCCCAAATCACTGCAGATGGTGACTGATGCCACGAAATTAAAAGATGTTTGCTCCTTGGAAGAAATGCTATGACCACCCAGACAGCATATTAAAAAGCAGAGACATTACTTTGGTAACTAAGGTCCATTTAGTCAAAGCTATGGTTTTTGCCAGTAGTTAGGTATGGATGTGAAAGTTGCTGAGGGCTAAATAATTGAAGCTTTTAAACTGTGGTGTTGGAGAAGACCCTTGAGAGTCCCTTGGGCTACAAGGAGATCAAACCAGTCAGTCCTAAAGGAAATCAGTGCTGAATGTTCATTGGA